AGTATCTAAAATACCCTTATTAAAGTTTTGGGGTTTAGTTTTGGTCAATTTTGTTTTTGTGGATTTTTTTTTTATATTTTTATTAGGTGCGCCTTGATGAGAAAAACATACACTTAACATTTCAAGTGATTTGGATTTATAGAAAAAAATTAAAATTCAAGCACGAAAGGAGGTTGTGACCTTCAAATCGACTTAGATTCAATCTGAGCCATTGGCGTTTATTGCAGCGGTCAGCTAGTGGGCGTACTGAATCCACTCCCTTATATATATATATATGGTGATCCCGCTGGCTAGCAGCTACAGTAAACGCCCAACAACTTAGATTCAATATGGGCCGATCCGACTGATACGACAACATTTCATATTTAAATTTTGATTGTTTTTCTTTAATTCCAAATAATATGAAACTTGGGGCATCCATTCTTCTCATCAAGACGCACCAAATAGAAAACTGAAAAAACATTATTTGCAAAAAATTAAATTGATCAAAATACCCCTAAAGGTTTTTAGGGATATTCTTATCCATTTAGTTTTGGGGAATTATTTTTTTGATATTTTTATTAGATTTGCTTATTTTTTAAGAATAGACGATCCAAATTTCAAGTGATTTAGAAAAAGTTAATATTCAAATACGAAATGCGAACGTGACCATTGGATTTTCCCATATTCAATTTGGGTCGTTGGGCTTCAAAAATAGTGTAGATCGACAAATTTATGAAAACTTGAAAATCTTGAAAATTGACGGTCAAAAAATGCGTTACAAAATACATTATTTCCAAAACTTGAAATCCATTTTTTTCTCATGTCCATCCATCTTGATGTCGAGATGATCGATTTGAGGATATTTGGGTATCAAAACAACCTCTTCTAGTGAAATTTTTGAGGTAGGCTCCAATTTGATGGTTTAGAGCCTTGGCTCTATATAAACTTTTCCCATATATATAAATATATATATAGGGGAATGATTTCATGCAATGGTTGTATAGCAGTATAATGCAACCATCTTCAAAAACCATGTTAGAGACATTTGTTTTTCACGAATTTTTAAATGTACACTCTTTTCAATCTGAAGAACAATCATAAACAAGACAATTTTGAAAACATGCTCTAGAAAGCTTTCATTCTAGCCTAATTAATATAAGGCGTCCATTTTATTGAGATGGTTAGATATAGGCCTCAAAAGGATTTTTTTATTCCCTAAATTTTTATATAGTGTTATCATCATTAGATTAATAATACTAAAAAAGAAAAAAGTGATTTTGAATTTGTTAAGGCCTAAATCTTGAAATTCACCAAATGGATGGTCGAGATTCATTGTTGGATGGGTACTAATTTTGACCATAGCTAGAGTGCAAATTGAATTTTTTTTTTCATAGGATTGATTATGAGGATGAAGAGAATGTGTGTGCAAATTTTGGGGTCATACAAATGCCAAAAATATGGTTTTCTAGAGGTGTGGTTGCATTATACTACTATACAAAAGTTGCATTAGATCATTTCCCATATATATATATATATATATAAAGGATTGTATACTACAAAACTGTTTATCATTGTTACAAGGAAGTCACAATCACACCTAGCCTTTAGATGTCAAATTTGATGGCTTGGAATGTTCATGAAGTTAAAGAATTTTCTTTTTTTTTTTAGAACTTTTAGTTAGTCAATAATATGCTTACAACTATTCAATTTAAAATCTGATGGACAAGAGTGATTGTGACATCCTTGTACTAAAAGTAAATGGTCTCTTTGTATATTTTTAGCATACATAGAGTGTTGGGGCTCAAGTGTCCAAATTGCAACAGAAGGTCCCAAGTTCAAATCTTACTTTTGAACTATCAAAAATATACATACATACGGTCATACTAATGGAGAAAAAAACACTAGATTATATACTAAAGGAGTATGATGTTCAAATGATAGAAATACAAGCACTGGAAAATTTGGTTAATTTAAGAAAATCATAGTATAATGGTAAATACATAAAACTAGAGTAGAATTTTCATAGATTTTCTTCAAGTCACACAATTAAAAAAAAAATTGCAGTTAATATAGATATTCTTGGTTACCAGCAATTTTATAATCAATCATTTTGAGCTTTCTGATTTTCATGAACAATTGAGATACACACTAAATGACAATTTTAGAAATGCATAAAAGCCTTAGGATATGCGACGTGGCCCTTATCGGGCCCTTTGGATTTCTCATAAATAGCAAGTTTTTTTTCCTTATCTCCTTATCATGAGAACTACACAGCGTATTAATAAAATAATTGAATCCTAGTCGAAGATCACCTAAACTTGCATGAAGGGTGGCAAGAAGATTCACTTTCTTCAGTCCTGAACATTTTTTCTTTGTTAACTCTACAAGAATTTATGGATGAAAGGTATGGTAGTAGTTTGACTATATATAGATATAACCAGAAACTTTCATATCCAGGACTCTTCAAATATTATTTAATTTGAGACATTTCAAGGTACCATTTTTGACGGCCTGTTCAAATTCTCATATCAGAGAGCAGCTAATTTAGTCCCCACTACCCTTTCATTAATCCCTTATTTCGGAGACCCTAAAAGAAGTATAAGAGCATGGATTGAAGAAGAAGAGAGAGGATGGACGTACTTGGGAGGATTGAAGGAGTGCAAAAAGGAGCAGAGATTCAGGCTTTAAACCTAGTATTTGTGATCTCTCACCAAAAAAAGAGGCCCTAGTTTTGGATAAGATCACACCAAGCGAAGCCAAGGCTTTTGTGGAGTCACACACCAATAAAGAAATGGATGGGGGTTATCACTCCTCACTAATAGAAATAAAATTCAGCACTCCTACTTTCTGGAACAGCCACAGGATGGAAATATTGACAACTCCTTTTAAGGAAATCATGCAAACACCTCTCTCATCCTTTTAAGGAAATCATGCAAACACAAAATAGGAAAGTATTATTGCATTTGTAACATTTAGGAAAGTGCTGACAATGTAAATTGTATATGAATTGTATTCTTTTACCATTGTATCATTATTATATATAAAATGAAAGAACCACCACAATGGCGTGGAGGCACAAGTCTTATTTTTTTTCAAAAGTTCCATTCCTTCTCGAAAATTCTTTATGGTATCAAAGCAAGCAGAAACATTCTCTTTCTCCCAGTGCTTCAACGAGAAAACTTTACTCACTGTACTTTCTGCCTTAACCCATGGTCCTTCTACTTAACATTGTTTCTCTTCCATATTCCTTCATCCCTCTACACGTTTTGCTTTATTTTATTTTTTTTTAAACCATCATTATCCATTATTTTTATTAAACCCTCTTCACAATGCTCCACTACTGTGAGACCTTTTTTTTTTTTACAACACTCCATTGTCGTGTCTCTTTCTTTAAGGCTAAAACATCATCTTTCCTCTTTTGCATTAGTTCTCCTGCGGTTCTACCTATTCTTTGCATTAGTTCCCAAGTCATATGTTCACCGACGGTCCTCCCTATACTCTTGCTTTGCATTCCACCCAAGTCATTTGCATTCTTCATAGTCACAACCTTGGTTTGAAAGCAGGTAATATATGGGTGAATGTGGGCATCACAACCTTGGTTCGAAAATACTATAAGGTGATAAGGGAATATGGATTTCAAAGAAGCCCAATGGACAAGTACTTGTTCATTCAGCATAAAGGAAGGGATATCACCAATTTATTACTTAATGCAAATGACATTATACTCAAGGCCAACTCATTGGAAAATGTGAGCCAAATTAAATTACTGCTCTTTAAGGAATTTCCAATGAGGATTTGGGAAATCTAAAATATTTATTTTGCATAAAAGCTGAAAGAAAAGAGTACACACTAATATTTGTGCAGCACAAGTATGTGTTGTATCTTATAAAAAGGATGAAGATTATAGAAGCAGAACCAGACCCTCAAACTTGCACTTTTGCATAAGAAATAACGGATGACGAAAATCTTGGAGAAGTCAATTAAACCTAGAAGAGTACCAAAGCATAATTGGTGCGCTGCACTTTCATGAGGCTTGATATTATGCAGTTAATCAGGTTAGTCAGTTTAAGCATAGTCTAAGAGGAGATCACTTAAGAGGCTATTAAGAGGATACTACGGTATATAAGGGACACTGCGAATGATGGGTTGCTTTAGTTAAAACATAATCCTAAGGAGCCTTTAAGTCTTGTAGCCATTTTAGATGCCGACTACAATGGAAATCCTAACACCAAGAGACCACTTATAATTTATTATGCCTTCATGGGAAGCAACTTTGTATCTTGGTGTAGTAGAAGAAAGAGGTATTAGTAGGCTATAGTACGGAAGTAGAGTACAGGGCAATGACCATAACCACTTCAGAAGTCACATGGACAAGAGGTCTGGCTATGGTTCTTGGTCTCAAATTGTACAGTTGCATTTTATACTATGATAATCAAAGTGCCACAGCTATTCCATGAACCCTGTGTTTCATGGAAGCACCAAACACACTCAAATAAATCAACACTTTGTAGTGTTCAAGAAGACAGATTTGGCTACCCAGGGAGCTAGGAACCTATGCGGCCACAGGCAACTGCGCAGATACCTTGGCAGCCCGAAAGTAGGGGATCTTTTTAGTGGGGGGTGGGGATTTTTTTAGTGGGGGGTGGGATGCGGGGGGTGGGGTGGTTTGTTACATGTAGATAGATAGAGAGAGAGAGAGAGAGAGAGAGAGAGAGCATAGGCACCTATTTGTGTGTCAGGGGGGCCTTGCATTGACCTCTTGAAGGTCATTTTCATTTTCTCTTCTTGTTATATGTAGAGAGAGAGAGAGAGGGGGGGCTGCATTGAACACTTGGGGTCTTCTTATTTCTTTCCTTTTCCTTATGGAAAGAGAAATCGCATGAGTCCATGCGGGTGCATGAAAGAAAGAGAGAGCCCCAAAATCTTGGAGGTCGTCTTTTTCTTATTGTTACATGTAGAGAGAGCATAGGGGTCCGTTTATATGTGTGTGTGAGAGAGAGAGGCTTTGCACCAAACACTTGGAAGCCGTCTTTGTTTCCTTCTTCTTATATGTAGAGAAACAAAGAGGAGAGAACATATCGGTCAGTTCATGTGTGTGTAAGAGAGAAAAGCCTCGTATTGGAGACTTGGAGGTCATCTTCTTCTTGTATGCAAAGAGAGAGTATATGGATCAATGAGTAAGGGGGGGTTGCATCAAACACTTGGAGGTCATTTCATTCTATTTCTTCTGCTTGTATGTGTGGAGAGAGAGAGAAAGAGAGAGAGAGTATATCTATGAGAAAGAGAAGCACCTGGAACTGAACACTTGGCGCACTTGGACAATGCGACTAAGTGCTCCATAGGACTAGTTAGGTGGCCTGGGTGGTTCACCTAAGAGGGCTGCCTAGGCAGGTGCCCTAGTACCAAACCAAATACGGCACCAACTTGGCCCTATTCGGGTCAAAAAGGCCCCTAGGCTGCCTAGAAACCTATGCGGGCAAACTTTCATTCATTGCCACTATGTGAGAGAGAAAATTGAAGATAGATACATAGCTGCAAAATTTGTAGTTTACAAGATCAAAGTTATCAAATAATCTAGATGAAAAATGGCACTCAAGACGGAAACTTAAATCACAAAACACATTTGACAACAAAGGAGCGACGGCCACTTTACAGCCTCCTTTCCAACAAATATTACAGCACTTAAGAATCTCGATGTCGAGTTGTGGACAAATTCATAAAAGCATACACTAACAAGGTTTTCTAAATCTAATTGAATCAACAAATAAGAGAAATATGGTGAATTTTGATCTCCTGCTCAATTATTTCATATCAACTCGTATAAGAAAGAAGGGAGATCCAATACTTGGGAACCTTCTAGAATGTTTTGGTATGCTCGCAGAAAGATTGTATTTCCTTTATATCAATTTCCAAAGTAAATTTAAACTGTCACATGCTCACTCACACATACACGCACACACATGCATTCACGCACGCACAAACACACACACACATACACACACACACACACTTCATCATCATACCCTTTTCCCAATTAATTGGGAGCGGACATATGAATCCTGGTCCACCATTCTGCTCTATTAAAGGTCATGCCCTCAGTGAGGCCGTAAGCTCCCATATCTTTTCGACTTACTTCCAACCGTGGCTTTTTGGGCCTACCCTTTGCCCTTTTCAGCCCTTCTACTTGAACTAACTCACACCTCCTAACATGTGTTGTACTTGGTCGGCGCCACACATGGCCAGCTCACCTAAGTCTACTCTCTCTTAACTTATCGCCTATCGATGCCACACCTAAATTTTTCCGAATGGATTCATTTTGAATTATATCCCTTCTTGACTTGCCACTCATCCATCTCAACATCCTCATCTCCGCTACACTCATTCTATAGGCATATACGTTTTTGTCCGCCCAATATTCCGCCCTATAAAGCAAAGCCGGTCTCACCACTGTCCTATAGAACTTGCCCTTCAACTTCATTGGTATGTGGCGATCACATAAAAGTCCAGTTGCACATCTCCACTTCACCCGCCCAACTTTAATTTTGTGTGCGACATCTTCCTCAATCTCTCTATTTCCTGGATTATCGATACAAGATATCGAAAGTGCAATCTTTTTTGTACTTCCTGGCCGTCAATCTTAACTACTTCCTTGTCTCTACCCCTATTATTACTAAACTTGCATTTCATATACTCTACCTTAATCCAGCTAATTTAAAACCGTTGGATTCTAGAGCATTCCTCCAAAGTTCTAATTTTGTGTTGACACCATTTTAGGTCTCATCAATCAAAACTATGTCATCTATAAACAACATGCACCACGATATCTAGTTAAGTTGTCCATAACTAAGACAAAAAGGTACATGCTCAATGCTAGCCCTTGATGTAGACCTATTGTCACTGGAAACTCATTCACAATAAGTCTACATCACACACACACACACACACATAGATATATATATATATACTAAATAAATAAATATATATATACATATGAATTATGATATAATCATGCAGAATACAATTTTAAACACCTTTGATGTAAAGAGCACATTTAAATGAAACATTTTCCAGTTAAATTGATCTGGTTTTGCATGAGCAGTAAATTTGGTGATAATAATTTTGTTTGAAAAACTATGATTCAAGACATACCCAATGAACAACAAAACTGAATGCCATTGTTTTTGCACGAGTCCTGGTGCTGCTAAGCTCTGGAATGATAAGACCAGTAACTGGTCCGGCTCCAATAGAAAATGTGAAGACATATCTAAAACACAAAATGGAGAAGTGCTTAGTCATTCCTCTGCAATCTTTGTAAACTAAAAAAACCTTCCAAATTGTTAAGGCAAAAATTAATAGGTATGCAGTTAGGGAGGTATGCATATTGTGCAATACAAAAGTGGATATATCATCCACAATGCATACCACATCGAGAAAGTACGCTCAAGAAAAAGAACATCCAAAACATGCATATTTTTAGTAACCTACTAAAAAGTTTATTTCAACTAAGTCACATCAAGAAAAACCAATAAAACGAATTATTTTGCTAAACTGAATGTAATTTTGCAATATAATGCTATGATGTATTTCATTGATTGAATGCAAGAATAGTTGCTTATCTAATGGCATGCAAATTAATTTCGAATAGGGATAAATTTTTTAGCTTAAAAGAGGCACAAGATGTTTATCATAGGGAAATTAACATAAATATCATGTCATTTTGTTGGTATCAATACTTGTTCAAAAAGAAGTAGTAGTAAAAAAATTCCCATGATATTTGAAACCTATACCCATGCCAATTTTTTCGATTTTTTACCTTTTTCCCTAAAATGCCGTCGGATCAGAACTCCTAGCACTGAACCGGCTTCTTTCTTTTTCTAGCTTGGTTCTTGACAAAGAACTTGGAGTTCCAAACTTTGTGAGGCTACATTGTTCGGAACTTGAAGTTCTGAATCAGTATAAGTACCTTTGTTCAGACCTTCAAGTTTCGAACTGGAATTTAAACCAAAAAAGTGATTTAGAACTCCACCTTCTGAACCGCAATTCTACAATAAAACAGTTCAGAACTTGAAGTTCCAAACAAAAATTTTAACAAAAAATGATGCTTAGAACTCCAAGTTCTAAAACACAATTTTAACCAAAACAATGGATAAGATCGAGGAGTTCTAAACCGAGAACCAATCCAAAATAAAAAAGAAGACAGTTCAAGACTACTTTTAAAGGCATTTTGGGGGGGGGGAAAAAACCAAGAAAAAGGAGCATGGGCTTAAGTTTTAAAAATTGCGGGACATTTTTTAATACTACAAAAATAACGGGATATTTACATTAATTTTCCTTTATTGTATTCATGCATCTCTTTTTTTCTTTTTTTAATGTTAACTTGGCACCTGGTGCGAATAGAACTCTGGATGTCACATTGTGGCACCGGCCACCCTAACAACCTCTATCTAGAACGTTCCCTTATCCATGCATGTTATTTATGCATATATCATATTACAAAACAAATTTTCAACAAGCATACATTTATGGATCGAATAATATAAAGTTCAGCCTGCATACTAGGTGCAAATTTCCAAATAGATACATATGGACACTGAATCCATTGTGTTGGGGCTCCTTTAGAATCAAAGTAAATATTCTACAAGGAAAGGCTAGATCATTTAGATTTGTTGACTATGCATTTGAAAGTAACCGAGCTAACCCTATAGATTTTCAACATGCCTTTATTATTAGTCCCCTTGTGGGCGGAACTAAGAACAAAAATGATTGTTCAGAAGCCAATCGTAGTTTACAAATATATTGATTAACCATTACATAAATAACTATTTCTAGTCTTGAAAAACTCAAAGAGTACTATCCTTAACTCTTTTCCTACCCAAATTGGTTTTGGTAATTCCAACAGTGCAGAAGCGAATGCCCTTCTCAAGGCTCTCAAGAGATACTATCCCAATAAAGGCATCAACTTAATTGTAGAAGCTAATTCCAAAAAGGTCATTTCACGAGCATCTAATAGTTTGTAATTTCCTTGGAGACTAAGAAATATTTTTAACCACATTGCTCATTTATGCAGCCACTTCAAATTGACTTCTTTAATACTTGGCGGGAGGCAAAAACTGGCAAAACATGGAGCTGCACTTGAAACTACTTTTATCTAGCTATAAGATTTGGTTGCTAGTCGTCTATTTTTTTGTTTTTTTGAGTTGGCCCCAGTAGGTGGATGCCTACCCAAGCGATCTTTCTTGCAGAAGTCTTTTTTTTATTCCACGACTCTCAAGGGCTGCACATCTCTATTTTTACCCACTTGATAACTTTTCCATCCACTTCTCTCATCTCTCCCCACCATCCTCTTTCTCCCTTGAGCCCTTGATGTAGGGACATTTGAAGAACAAGGAGTCATGCCAAACACTAGCAAAACTAGGAGAAACCTAGCGTTTCCTCCACACTCAAGCCAGGGTTCCAAAGGCCTATGTTTTTCTTTTTCTTTCAATTCTAGAAATCACATGGAATAACCCCCTCAAAGCCCCACCACTCGTCCCTACCCAAGTGATCTTTCTTGCCGAAGTCTTATTTTTATTCTTCCACGACTCTCAAGAGCTGCACATCTCTATTTTTACCCACTTGATGTTTTCTCCATCCACCTCTCTCATCTCTCCCCACCATCCTCTTCCTCCCTTGAGCCCTTGATGTAGGGACATTTGAAGAACAATGAAATCAACAAGGAGTCACACCAAACACTAGCAAAACTAGGAGAAAACCTAGCGTTTCCTCCTCACCCAAGCCAGGGTTTTATGCTTTTCTTTCGCTTTCAATTCTAAAAATCACATGGAATAACCCCCTCAAAGCCCCACCACTTTTCTTATGTTATAATTCAATATTTAAAACAGTAAATGCCCATTATAATTAAAATGACCCAAAAAGTCCTAACTTAAACACGAATTTTGTAATGACAATTTACGCATGTGAGCAATATAATTAAAATAATGCCCTAAATCTCTTGACTGCTTCGCACCTCTTCAATATCCTTAAGATCTTCAAAGGCCATAATTTTGATCAATCCCCCTGCTACATTCTCTTCCATATTCTTCACGAGCAAGATCCTCATTTTAAACTTCTTCATCATGATCCTTATTATATATTAGATCTCCTTATCAAAGATTGGTGCCAAGTCCAAATCTACAACTTGTTGATTTTGGATACAACCTGCTTCAAAATCAAGAATGTCATCCTTTAAATCTAAAACCCCTAAGTGATGTTCCCCACATCTAGGTCCTCTATTACTTTCTTTTTCACTCGACTATTCATGTAGAGCACGGAGGTGAAAAGGGTGGTACTTGACATCTTCGTGAGCAAAAAAATCACCGCTTGCCCATGAACGATGCTCACAAACTCCTGCATCAGCTCTGGAACATGCCCTTTAAATTCCTCAATTTTTTCATCTCTAGGATCATGAAGTGGATCTACAAAAAACTCCTTCCATGGCCCCTTCCCATTACTATGGGTTTGCAGAAATCACAAACTTAGACAGATAATCAACAAAAACTCACCAAATAACAGTAAGATCTGATTAGGCAAAACTTGGCCGAAAATCAGCAAACCCTAGACTTGGTTGGCCTTGTTGTTGAAGAAAACCTAGGCTCCGCTACCAATTGATCGTAGGGAAATTTAAAGAACAACTAAATCAAAAAGAAGACAAATCACAACACTAGCAATGACTAGGAGAAACCTAGAATTTCCTCACCCAAGCTAGGGATCCAAAAGCTTAACCTTTTCTTTTTCTTTCAGTTTTGAAAATCACATAGAATGGCACCCTCAAGGCCCCACCACCTCTGATGTATTCAAAGACCTTAAATGTCCATACCAATGGTTTAAAAAACGGATCGGTGACCCGGATCGGGCTTCCAAAAAACCGATCCGGATCGGCGAATCGGCGATCCGGATCGGGAATCGGTCATAATAAAG